AAATCTAGAAAATACCCTTTTTTAAAGTTTAAACTCATGCAAAATAATACTATAATTTGGTTATGGATATATGCATATGTAGATAAATTATTATAAGATGCCTGGAAATGATAATCATGTATTTCAGAAAAGTGGCTACCTCTGGTGAGAGGAGAGAGGAACAGGGATGGGTGGAATCAACGGGTTCTCAGCCATTATTGTAATAGGTTATTTCTTTAAAAATTTGAAAAGAAGATACCAAAATATTATGAGTTGTTAATGCTGGGTGGTGGGCAGAGAGTTTTGGTGTTCTCTATGCTTCTGTGATATTTTTAAAAGAGTCAAAATAATCCAGAAAGGGGGAAAAGCATGCAGCACCTAAAAGGTATTTTGAAGAGCAAGGAAAGGAATGAAGATGGATTATTAATACTGAACACATGAAGTCCTCTCCTCTAGACTGAGCAAGAAAAGAAGATGCTCAGCTATTGCAAATTGTCTGAGATATTGTGATTTTTGAGAGCGGTAAAGAGATTTCACCATATCACTGATATTACTCTATGACTTATGGAGGATTCTGAATCTGAGAGGCCATTTCATGTCATGGAGTAGAAAGAACTTCACTTTCTCTGGTACTAACATTTCAGTCCTTTAAGCTGAGATCAGCTTACTGTTGGGATAGTCTTAGTGATGTCAAGGACCATGTCCCACAGCACATTTTTTTTTGTCTGATAATTTCAGTGTTCTGTGTCCTTTTATCTCACCCAGGTTTGGATGCCCTCCCACTTTGACTTCCCATGGGCCTGAGTCCATGAGCTCACTCATTTGGGCTACTTTCAGCCTTCCCTCTGTCCCTCTGAGCATCTCCACCTGGGCAGAAGCAGACTTGGCTGTGCTGGCAAGTGGGCCAGCCAGTCTCATCACTCATTTTCCCAGCATACGGAGGAAACTTTGCAGGAGGAGGTGTCCCATATTGAAGCTAGAGATCTCCTTTCAACACCCTCAGCCATGAAGGACACAACACTCATATTTCAGTCCCAAGAACACTTCAATATCCTATGAGACCCTTTGAAACACAGGGCTCCCTATAATTTGCCATTATAAAGATAAGGTCATAGTTGGGTCAAGTCATGCCTCAGGATATATAGGAGCTACAATAAAAAGCCTGCTGGTTGGCATTCAGTAACTTTTGGTCACATGCCTTTCCATGTCAGGCAACATGGAAAGCACAGTTGACTGATGACATTTCTCCTAGCAGCAGCATCCTCTGTGGTCCCCAACCTGTTGTCTTGTTGGGAGCCTGGTTTATGAACACAGTGCCTCCTTGCCCATACAGTGCAGTTCCTGAGCTCTCTCCCCTTTCTGAGACGGATTTGTTCTTCTACTGTAGGTATCTAGGCTCTTTGTGATTGTTAACCATGACCAGAGAGAGCCTAAGTTTGGTGTCACAGAGGCAGTCAGTGAGACTTGCTCAGATGGCACTCCATGGTGGTCAATGCACAGCCATGCTGCACCTAATGCTTATTGTAAAATTTCAGTCTCAAATGTGAAGACAAACCATGCAGAAATTATCAATAAGTCAAGGAGTAGAGAATAACAGGGAATGGTGGAGAATTGGGAAAACTGAAAAACATACACCTTTCCTAAACTGAGTGGCTACTCTGCTTTAGCTGACTATTACTATGCAGAAATGTTGGCTCAGCTTTGCCAGAATTCTTGGATTTTCAAGGAAAGGTAGAAATGGGGGTATTTTAAATGCAAAATCTTCCAACTTTTAAGTGTTGGCAACTAAGAAAGATTGCTAAAACAGAGAGGGAGGGAGGAGAAGGGGAGAGAGAAAGAGAGAGAGAGAGAGAGAGAGAGAGAGAGAGAGAGAGAGACAGACAGACAGACAGACAGACACACCATCATCCTGGTGTGATGTGTGGCCCAGAGGTTAGTAACCTCAGAGGAGAGAAGAGTTTTAAACAACCTGATTTGTGGCCAGCAAGCGTGCATTTGAGGTTAACCCACTTGAGCTAGTGCCATCAACCTGAATCTGATGGCAGGAGAAGAAAGAACTTAGACTAAAAAGCATAATAGCCATGCCGGGAGGCAAAGATGCAGAGCAAAGCAATCATAACTATATCTCAGAGATCATAAGTACCTTGGCGACCACCTTCCCGTGTCTTTGGAGGAGCTGCCACATAGGCAGGAATCAAAGTGAGTGAGGGAGCTTTCCTTCATTGAAATGAACCCTTTTCTGTCCATCCCTGCTCGCACAGCAGTGTAGGAAAGGATAGCTGGAAAGAGAGATCCTCTGGGCACGGTGTTTGGCTTCCCAGGGTGTTCTCAGACATTTCCCACCCTTTCTATGGGTGTAACCATATTCTGAACAATTTATTTTCTCTCCAGACTCATTACTATTTCTTGTTCATGAGGTTATTTTTCATCCTGCGTAGGCTGCACTCATGAACAACGGGTGTCAATGTCTAGGAAATGGAGTCAATGTCTAGATGTCAATGTCTGGGGTTCCCTACCTAGAAAGTACCAATCCATGCAAAGTGTTATTGTGAGGGTGGTGGGTGTCACAGGCCAGAGTACAGAAAATGAAGCATTCAGGGAAAGAGCTGGTTCAGGCTCAGCTGGGAGAAGGGAGTGGCAGGCCAGGGGCGGGGGAAAGTGGGAGGTGGAGCTAGGGAAGCAGTTTGTTAAGAAAGAAAACTCTCACCCTATGTCCAGGGCTTAATGACAAATGCAAAGTGCTTCATTACAAGGACTTTGGAGTAATGAAGAGCTGGATTTAAATTCAGACTAACCCACAAAATAACCTTGGGGATTTTTCTTTTTATATTATTGAGGCTCAGTTTTCCCACTTGCCAAATGGAGTTACTGCTATTAACCATTGACGACAGTGAATAATAAGTTAACTCTAGGCAGTGCTTGGCATTGTCACTTACTTACATAGACCTTCAGATTCCAGGGTGATTGACGATACATCCGATGGTAGGATTATTACAGCTAGGCATCGCCTGAGGCTCCTTTCTTCCTCTCGTGCCTATCTGCAGCATGATTCTATAATATTTCCTCTCTTCTTACCACTTGGGGAAGGTGGGTAGGCAGTGGTAAGAATGACATCCAGACTAGGGTGGATAAATTGCTCTGTGTCTCCAGTTCCCTATTGTTAAGCCACCTCAACACCGGGACTCCTGTTCCACTTCCGAGTATAAAGTGCTTTTCTCTCAGTCAGTGCTGTGTTAAGGGCAAAGTGTTGCCGTGACGTAGCAATTTTAAGATGACAAATATATTTGAAGAGGGAATGTTTGAAAATAATCCAATAGAATTCCATTTGGTATTGGGCCTTTTATCGAGGCCATCACCTAAGCCACTTTATGAAGTTAGGTAATAAAATTATGATGCCAGATAACGAAAGGAAGAAGCAGAGACAGAAGGTGAGGCCTTTGAGAATCCAAAGGCAGATGGAGAGAGCATAGGCAGAGGATGCAGGAAAGTTCTTGGTGGCAGATGCTGGAAAGCTGGTGGCTCTAGGATCCTGAAGTCAGAGCGCGGAGCTGAAACCTCAGTGAGGGCGAGATGATTAGGGTCTGCACAATTGTCAGGAAAAAAAAGACAGTTTTGAAATTCTGGGCCTCTTTTTGCATTGCACAGTTGTAGTGTCTGTCCTCTCCTGGCAGCAGTGAACATGGAGGGCTTGCCCAGGAATATGCGCAGTGCTCTGGTATTCAATGCGTTAGGCCCTGCAACCTCTCATCCAGCCCTGTGGGTGCTCAGTGCCCCGTCTCCCCTAACCTCTTCCTTCATAACTCCCCTCCCTTTCCCCACATGATCCTAGACTCTCTGGCTTGCTTCTCAGGAAATGTATAGTTAGACAGTCCCTGAAGACCAGGCTCTGTTCTGAATTACAGAGGGCCAACAGGTACCTTTGTACCAGATGATTTTGGGGAAACCTCTTGACAGAGGAAAATGTTGGACATGGGTGTCTGTGGGCCACCCATGGGCAAGGCCTGCTTTGGAAGTGTTATTTGCCTTTAGTTGACCTTCCTTCCACCTACCTACCCCTTTCCTGGTATCAGCTGTGGTCCTGGTCTCCACTGCCCTGCCCCCAGTAAATGCCTTTTTCTTCCTGCTCTGGGGTTGTTCTGAGGAAGGGGGAGGAATGGAGGATTTTGGAGCACTGCCTTTTATACTATCAGGCTTCAGCTTTAAGAATCTTGGAAAGGCTCCACCTGGGAAAGAGTTCCAGAGAAAACAAACTTCAGATCCCCAGCTCATATGGGAAAAGGCTCATGTTCACGAAGGCAGCTTTAGGGACCTTGGCAGAGACTTCATCAGGCTTGGCCCTGGCCTTTAATGGGTCTGACATGGAGCCTTATGGGGCCCATGGATGCTACATGGCCTCCCAAGGAGATTTCATTCTCAGAAGCTGGAATGATAGTTCTTTCATAATGATAGTTCTTTCATAGGGTTTGTAATCCTCAGGTGTCCAGGGAAACAACAGCTTTTGTGGTTCCAAAGGTTTATGCCCCTAACAAAAGAAGGGGCATATAGCTTCCCTCGTGGAAGTTAGTGCAATTTAGTGGGTGATAAGGCAGAAAGAAGGTCTTGAATTCAGCAGTATCATCTCTCTAGTGATAAGAATCTTTGTCCCAGGCCCAGGAGTGGCATCCAGAATGGCAGTCACAGGCACCATTTTGAGACATTCTGACCCAACAAAGGGAGTGAAGGGGGGCAAGCATGTTAGGAAAGGGACTAGGCAGAGTCGTGTTGATGGTGAATCTTTCTTCCCTGACTGCAGCTTGTACTAGTTCTATAATGCCACTCTGCAATAGTTGGAGGATAATGAATCTAAATTTTATGCCTAAAAGAAGCCAAGTACCCTGACAGGCAAAGCAGTGTGGGTTCAGGAGCTGGAGACACCCAGACTTCTATCTCTGGCAGTTTGCACTTAAGAAGACTTCCCCATGTTTTTGCACTCGGGGCTCAATACTGACCATTAATTCCACCATGTCTGCCTCTTCTGCCAGGGGTCTTTTCAAACATAGACAATCATGGGATATTAAACTTGAAGGACAATAGAGATCATCTAGTCCCATCAACTCACTATATATATGAGGAACCTGAGGTCCAGAGTGGGGATGTGTCTTACCCAAGGTCACATGGTGAGTTATCTCCTTTGACATCTTTGTATAAAGTCATGACCCCTTCCCTACCAATTTTGATTTTTAAGACCCAAGGACTCATCATCAAACCTCCATGTCTCAAAGAAATAGGGTATGGCTAGGTGTCCAGGGTGGTATTGGTGTTCAAGTCCCTTAGGTTATAAGAGTGTCTTCCAGAGGAGGAAGCTTCACAGGGCCTAGGTGAGGGGTATGGGAGAAGCAAGAGAGGGGCCATGGCCTGGCGAGAAACAGTGATGTCATAGACCTTCTCAGCAGGCTGCCCAGACCCATGACCTTCCCTCCTTTCTCAAACCCCAGAAAGCCCTTCTCTGGAGTCAGCACAGAGAAACTATCTCAGAAATGTCTCATTTTGAAATGGAGCTTTCTTCTAAATATGATATCACAGACAAAGAGATTTCCCTGTATCTTCACAAATTTGACCTCACTCCCTACAGAGGGAGGGACCCCAACACCCCAAATGTCTCAACCCTGTTTTGATCATACTAGTCCAGTCCTGGGCTACAGAAAGGAAAGTCTCAGTGCAATTGGATTGTTTCAAACTGTGCCCATGATGTATCCCCAGTGCCCAGTTGTCCATCATGCCGTCCACATGCCTGCACATGACTTTCATGAAAAGAGGCTTTCTCTGTTTACATGTGTATGCACATATGTGCATGAGTGTGCACACATACAAACATACACACACACGCAAACATGCGTAGTCTTTACAGATATGTTAAAACTCTGAATTTGATCAAGCAACTTGTTTGTGGAGATTTGATCAGGAGCACCCGTATCTCTGGATATTCTCACTGAGTTCCCAGCTGAGTGGCCAGAAAGACACTAAGCTGTCATTGAAGTCCTCCTCGCTTGAGGCAGCCTGTAACTCAGTGGCCACCAATGCTGCTCCTCAAGGGTATGTCCATGCCCTGTAAGAATTAGAATTATGGGAAGGCTGAGATCTCATCCATCCTTCCTAAACCATCCAAGGTCCTGGTGAAATGAGGCAAAAAAGGTCAATAGGAAAAAGCTTGTAGGCTTACCAGTACAGAGCCGCCACCTCCTAGTGTGGTCAGAAAGGGTCTATGAAATTTTAGTTCCTAGAATTGGAGATGCCCTCTGGTATCCTTAAGAGGGGCAGCATAGCCTTCTCCTTCATCTCCTCTGGTGACCCTGCCATGCATACCCTTGCTCTCTCACCTGCTCATCAGCTCATCGTCAGGGGATCCTCCTTCCAGACTTGGAATGACTGTATATGGTCCTATAACACTCCCTAAGATGAGTCTGTCCTTCCTCTTCCATGACAGTCCAAGCCAAGCCCCCAAATGTGGCACTCACTTCCCTTCCATGGTTCAGTGGAGGCCACAGCAAAATGGAGTGTTTCCGGTTTTCCTGACCGTTCTTGGTTTTAAGTTACCCCCTCCCCCTCATCTTTCCCTTTTGCTGGCAATTCATTTGGCTATTTCCAATGTATATCCGTATCTCTAGGTTTTCCCCTTTCAAACTCCCTTTCTATTTCCCCTCCTAGTTTTGATCTTCTTTGGGGGTTTTGGTTTTTACTTTATTTTGCTTTTTTCTGTTTTTCTGTTTTTTTTCTTTTTGTTTTTTTATAGGTTTCAGAGAAATTATGTTGAATCCAATAAGCCTTCCCGGACATTCCAAGCCTCTTAACCATGGCATCTATGTTGAGGATGTCAATGTTTATTTCAGCAAAGGACGTCATGGCTTTTAAAAACTCCTTTTAAGCCTCCTTGTTTTGATGTCACCTTGGTAGGCTGGGCCCTCTGAGAGGTTGGAAGCTCTAGGCGTTGTTCTCTTTGGATCCGGGGATGCTAAGTAGAAACTGCATGAGCCACCGGTGCCCCTGCACCCTTTAACACCACCGAGATGGGCATTTCCCCATCGGCCACTGGCAGGGTTGCCCCTTCCCTCCAATCATCACCGTGTTTTTTCTTTTATTTTTTTCTTTTTTTTTCTGACCTGCGAGGCAGCTCCTGCCACCATCTTTAGAGCCAATAAAGAGAATTAAAACCTGTGCACCAGGAGCCATCTTTTATACACAACTAGCTATTCTCTTGCTTTACAAAAACAACCCAATCGCCATGAGAAAGCCTGATGAAGTCCAGCCGTGCTGTGGCCTCCCTTTCTCGCTTGGAAGCATGGGGTCTCCCTGGCTCTCCCTAGGACACTGTGCTGTCCTTTTAGTAACCTCATCGCCCTGCAACCTCCAGTGGGGAAGAGTCACAAAGAGCACCTAAGCAGAGGTGGAGACGGCGCGGTAAGAGGAGGGGGAACCAGGCCCAAGTGTTGCACCAGCTTAGGTCTCAGAGGGAAGAATGGAAACCAATATTTTGTTTTGTTTTTTTTTTTGGTGGAGAAAATCATACCTTTTTTTGGATACACTTTGCCCCTCCTTCTTCTCTGGAATGGCTCACAGTGAGTGCGATATTAGAAAATTCCTTGGAAAGAGTTTCTCCAGGCTCCTTGGCCCCTAGAGGTGCAGTTCCGACAAGCTTTGGCTACAGGAGACCTTGCCCGTGAATTGGCCATCCTACTAGGACCACAAGGGACCGAGGGAATCAGGGAACAAGGCCCTTCCTGCTAGGCCATGATCCTGGGATTGGCTCTCTTGCCCCACTTCCACTTACTCTTGACTCAGAGAACCTTTGGAGCCCAATGGAATCACCATTTCAAGGTCAAGATGAACTGAAGGGGAAGAGAAGTAAAAATTGGCCTCCTCCAGCCCCTCTCGTGGCACCAGCGGACGTGTCACCCTGTTCTCTGGTCAATCTGTGTGTTTACTTTGCTTGCTTTGACTCATGCCTTACTCCACAGCCACCCTCTCCCAAAGAGGGGGGCTGTTCCCCCCGTTTCTGACTTGATCCACTGGGGAGAAGAAAGAGGATGTCTGTCCCTTGCTAGATAGGGAAGGCACGTTGGCAGGGTCTGAGACTCTCCCGGATTCGCTGACACATTAGCTGAGTGGATTTCTGGCTTGGTCCAGCTCTCCATATACCCACTGGGAGTCCCTGTTATATGAGGGAAGCTTAGATTGTCACTTGATGATGATCAACAGGAACAGGGAGCACCCCATGAGGAGTTTTGGGGAAGCTATGGTGGTTTTTATAACCCATTATGTTTTGGGGGTGGTGTTGCACAGCAATAGAGAATAGATTCTATGCCTTAGGCAAATGTACCTGGGAGTTAAAAGGCTCTTACTGATGGGTTGATAGATTCTGCTCCCCCCGGGTCCTGTGGATAAAGCTTCTTCATGTCAGGTTCCCAACCTGATTCTGTAGATGCCTCCATGGGGTTGAAAAACAGGAAGCTTTCCAAGTTCTTGCCCAGTATCTGGGGTGGCCTCCCAGGCACCGAGTTTCCAGAGTACCACGTGGGGGGTCAGGTTTTCTCCAGGGTGTCCAGGTGTGTGTTTATGTATCCCTGTCCAGCTCCCCTCATCTGCTCCCCATGGCTCCAGTGAGGCTGTTCCCCAGCACGCCCTGCTGGCCCCTTGGGTCTAGGGCCTCCTCCCGAGTGTGGCTTTAAGGAGTAAGCTTGAGGATGATGTTTTTAATTATTGTAAATCATTACCTCATTTCCAGCCTCCCAGGCTCCATCCATCCCAGCATCTTTTATTCTGCCATTTTCCTCACCTTGTGCTATGACATTGGGGCATTGTGTTTCCACAGAGACTTATAGGAGTGTTCAGTGTATAGTTTCTTAATAAACACTTTATTTTCTAATGAAATGACTGGATCAGACCTCTTATTTGGAAATTTTGCCAATATTAAAGACACAGAAATTTCTAGGCTGCCCACATATTCTCTCCTGTTTTGTTGTTACTCTTTTAAAGAAGTTTCATAGCTCAATTCTGTTTGCAAAGGTGTTTGCAACCTGTTTCATTGGTTGCTTTCATTGAGACTCCTCCCAATAGGTCAGTTTTATATAGCAAAGTGTTTCCTCATCTTATTGAGAAGGATTTAGAGGCACAAATAGGTCAAATGATTCACCCAGTGTCACACAGCATGAGAGGCAGAAGCAAGATTTAAACCTGAATCTTGCAGTCACTCCTAGGACCCCTGAGACTTTCACTCCTTTGGAGGACTTCTCTGATACTTGAACAGCTAAGATTTGTAGAGATGATCTTTTCAGAGCTGATATGCAAAGGGTTCTGAGAGTGGGAATGGGGGAATCCTGTATCTTCGTGCACAGCAGGGCAGTAGATTCTTCCTGGGGTGGAGTGATTTTTGTATCTTCCCTGTGCATCTTGGGGACATGACTTTGCCTAGAGAAAGATGAGACTCTGGGATAACAGGTCAATCTCCTGATCATTCAGAGACACCTTCTACACACACACACACACACACACACACACACACACCCCACATGCACACACTCATGTGGACCCAACTGTCATAATGGGTCTCGTGTGTGGTGGAAATGGTGAGATGAAATAGTCAAGTCACCTACTGAAAGTCAAGTCACATGCTTAGAAGAGCTGGGACGTGTTTGCCCTTGGACTCTGGGCCCTGATACAGTTGGGAGGGTTGAAATGCTTTCTGTGACCTATACTGTCTTCCTTTTTATGAGGAAGGGACACTGTAGGCAGTAGATACAGAGTGACAGTGAGGAACGAAGGCTGGGGAGGGTTCCTGGGGGGAATCTGAACCTTTCATTGGACCTCCAGAAGGCCTTGCTGGAGCTTGGTTACTTAGGAAGTCAAGGTGAAACAAATCATGGAGTGTGGAAGAGCTCCCATTGGGATCTGACCGGAAATTGGCAGGCCACTTACCTTCACTTTATCTCCAATTTGGGCCTAATTTGGTTTGAGTCTCTCCTACCCAACATGGAAGCTCCCATCCTCTAGAATGCCCTAGGGAGGTGATGGGATTTGCCCCATTTCTGCATTTTTCTGCTCTCAATAGCTCCAGGGAGCCAGGGTTGGAAGAGGGTTGGGGCAGTCCTTGGAACCATGAAGAATGCATGGGTTACAGGAAGCGCTTTCATTATTAATGTAGGAAAGGCTTAAGTTTTGCTCTGTTCTGATGTGCAGAGCTTGCCAGTGCATAGGAGAACAGAGAATGGGTAGCCATATCTCCTTATAAGATGGCAGGGGCAGGAAAAGAATCCCATGACTTAGAAGGAGGGGTTGAAATTAGCCAGATGGAGGGAGAGCTCTTTTGTTGAGGTAGCGGGGTATGAAGAGAGACAGGGGGACATGGCATCCTTAGAGATTTAGGTGCAAGAAAGTGAGGAGGTTCTTGTTTGGTGGCTCCTATATTGTCTATGAAGGCAAGGTCTTGTGCCATGAGAAGATCTGAAAAGAGTTGAAAAGTTCTCAAACAGCAGCCAAAGAGAACACGGCAGATACTAGAGAAGCACAAGAAGGTTGTCGAGCAGAAGGAGGACCCGGCTGAGTTTGAAAGACGTTACATCTCTAGGCCTCTGCTTCCCATGGTTTCCTGTTAGGTATGGAAGTGCCATGGCATTTGTCCCCCCATTGCCCCTCAGGGGCAGGCAAAGTTAACAGGGCACACCTGGACTCAGCCCAAGGAGGATGCCAGTTTGCACTGGCTTCAGTTAGGGCAGCTCAAGGCACAGCCAGACCTGTATGTCCCTGACCTTCTGGGTTCAAATCTCATCCACAGGATTTCCTTCTGACTTTCCTAGACTTAAGTTTATGTTTGGGCCTATAGGAGAGGTTCACAGCTGATAGTCCATGAGGCCAGGGTGCTTCCCACGTTCTTTCTGGGTCTTGATTTTGGAGGGGTGGTTGAAGGAGTTTGGGCTGTGAATCTTAGAAGGTGAGAAACTCAACTGCATCCTTCATCTGGCATAGGATGTTCAGGGACATGCCCTGGAGAGGCTGTGTGTCACTAGCGTCATGTGACCAGGTCCTGGAATTGGTTGCAAAGCTCCACAAAATGGGTCCACCATGGAGCATTAATAATACTTATTACATCTAATTTAGAAAGCACCTACCCAGAGCCAAGCACATTCTACCCACAAGAAAGCCAAGGCTCAGAGAGATTCAGTAACTGTGCTGGGCTCTCACAGCTTGTGACTAGCAGGACCAGGACCGACCACAGTATCAGCCTGACCTGCTGCCCCCCAAAGCAGCCTGTCTTTGCCCTGGAAGGCTGCGGTCAGTCCTTGGGGCTGCCCAATTATAACTGTACCCTTCACTCCTAAGACAAGTCTTTGTTAGTGGCTTCTGGAGCTGGACATCATGCCTAGCTTCCTTCTGGTACCACCACCGAAAACAGAGCTATTTAAAAGACTGTGGAAAAGAACATCTATAATATTCTTTCTTCACTCATTCTAGCAGTTCACGACCCTGGATGCCCGAAAGTGTGGTTGGTCTTTGATCTGAGATTAATTGCCTGGTTTGCAGTTGCTGAGATTCCCAAAAGGTGATGACATCTTTGACACTGGGGAAGACTTGTTGGGTGAGACTAGGCCCATCCTTAGGAAGTCTGTAGGCTGCCCAGGTATGGGCAAGCATGAGAAGTTTTAGACAGGAAGGTGGTGGATTGTACACCCCTGTTTGACTTTTCTTAACCCAAAGACCTCCCGGTGTGTTGAAGCTCAGCCATAGGATTCTCACACAAGCCAAGAACAGGGGCAAAGCCATTTCTGTTTGGAAGCCAAGAGCCTGGTCTCTGCCCACCCTCTCTTTCTCCTCTTGTGTGGGAACTCCTTTTGGAACCCAAGCTCTCAGCAGCCACGGGTGTGACAAAGACACAGTTCTGGGCTGTGACACTTTCCCTGGTTCAGCCCAGTTCCCTCAGGTCAAGGCCAGGCTTGAGCTAAGAATCAAGCCTCTCAGATATAATAGCCAGGTGGCAAGGGAGGGCTCCATGCCACAGAGAGAGCACAGGAGTGGGCAGATCAACGCAGGGTGACTTGATTGTTATCATTGTGTGCAGCTTTCTGAGCTAAGCCAGACAAGGAGTAGGCAAAGAGCCGGGCCTTCATTCCTTCAGTGTTTGCTGACTCCTGCACTTGGGCTAGACTTGCACACTCTGACAGCAAGAGCAGAAAGAAGGTGGCAGAGAGGGACAGGGAGGGAGCCGGATGGGGTGGGGTGATGCCGGCTGCTCTGAGGCTTCTCTGGGAAGGAACAAGGGAACACCCTGCAGGGTGACAGTGGAGAGGCTGAGGAGGGTGGGGAAAGATGGGAAGCCTGGCCCACACCCGATTGTCGAGCAAGGTCCTGGAGTTCTACTCCTCCCCTCTCCTGGCTCGACACCACCCACCCTGTTCCCACTCTTTAATGCTGATGGATGTGGGCGAAGCTGCCTGCAGCCTCAAATTTCTTTGGATAGCTCTGGTTTTGCATTTCGCCTCTAGAAATCCCACTCTTACCACCCCCTGTACTTCCCACCTCCCAAGAGAACCTCAGCCTAGATCTGACAACATATTTTCAGAGCTAAATAAGACTCCTCCTTCAACCCTACTTGAACTCAAAATTAAATAGAAAGAATGAGTTGGCAAGAGATAAAGTCCCTTGTCTGTTTTTGGTGGAGGGTGCTTCTGAAACATTAGGATTTTGAGGCCCATTGGGTGGGACATTTCGTCCTAATCCCTCTCACTCAGTGGATGAAACTTCTGCAGAGTGACCTGGCTCCACTTCCCCTTTTAAAGCTTGGCTTCCTCAGAGAAGAGATTCATTTATTTATTTTTTCATGAGTGATAGGGTCTAAGACCTCTCTGCATTTTTATCCCTTACCACCTGGACATTTATTTTCCTCTCCCATCATGAAATATCTGTGCTTGAGTGAACATCTTTGTTGCCTACTGTCTTTGACTTCCAGGTGGATGGAGGTACCTTGTTCAGATGCTCTGCCTGCTCCTGCATGGGGGAGAGTAAGAAAGGGGTAGAGTGAGGGACCCACCTGGGCTGAACCTTTGACTGGGGTTTGATTGGCTCCTGTGAGACAAGAAAGCCAGGCAGGCAGGAGGCTTTCTATGGAGCACAAACTTGCAGGATGCTGATGGCTAAGATTCAGGCCTCCAGCCAGGTCGGTGTGAGTCCTGTTTGTGAAAGAACTGGGAACTCTTTGGAATAGAGGGGAAAGGCAAGATCACACATTCCCAGAGAATAACCAGAGCTGTAGAGAAACCCTAGCTGAGGTCCCTGGTGGGATTCCATGCCTGTAAAACTGGAGTTGTGTGAACTTCACACATGGCACTAGAGTTGCCCCTGGGCTTCTTAGGATCGGTCTTCTCATGGCCCTCTGTCAATAGGACCTTCTCAAGAGCTCTCTGATGTAGATGAAACTGACCTTGATTTAGTTAAGAATGGAGAGAGGGTCATGTGGCAGAGAACAATCAAGTTTGGCATTTTGATGACTGAAACTATTGAGCACTCCAGCCCCTGATTAAGAGAAAAATATCACATAGGAGGGTTCAGAGGATGGCCAAAATTCCCCATGCAGCCATTGAGAGGGTTGGAAGAGCAAGAAGTGAGGCTGCCCTAAGCTATATGTTCCAGGATCACAGTCCCTGGCTCCTGGATTCATCTAAGTTTGAGGGGCAGAGCCTCATGTCAGCTTGGAAAACACCACCAAGCCAACTTTGGTAAGTTAATGCTGGAGATCTCGGTGGCTGACAATGACAACCAGCTCTCTTTCCCTCCCATTTCTGCTACCTGTGTGCTGTTACCATGGGAGCAAAATGAAGCCTGGGTCTGC